GCTTTATTTGGTAAAGTTTATGCTTATCGAAGAGCTAAAATTTATGATTAATGATAAGAACGAGTCCAAGTTTGTCGTAAAAAATCATTTCAAAACAACTTTTCACTCCCTTCCCTACATCCAACTTAGAAACTACCCACTAAACTCCCTAAAAAGAGGAGACAATGGCACGGCCGGTTAAGAGGCAAAATCAAGCAGCACCAGCAGCGGATGGGATTAAGGAGGAACACCTTTTGGCTTTCATTGCGAAGGAGAAATACAAAGAAGTACAACAATGCAAAGAAGAACTCGAGAAATATTGTGAAGAGTTGAAGAAAATAGATGGTGGTTCCGATGTGAATAAAAATGTTAAAGGACTATGTGAAAAAGGAAAACAAGAGGAAAAATGCAAAACCCTGAAAGGCGAAGTTGAAAAAGAATTGAAAGCTCTTGAAGAGGGACTTGAAGATGCATCGGTAGATGACGTAAAAGATGAAGAAGTTTGTAAAAAATATGAAGAAAAATGTATACTTTTAGAAGAGACGGGTTATAATGATCTTAAGGAGTACTGTGTCAACTTGAGGGAAGGATGTTACAAATTGAAGCGTGAAAAGGTGGCAGAGGAGCTTCTTTTCAGGGCACTCGGAGGGGATGCTAAAGATGATGGTAAATGTAAAGGAAAGATGAATACTGTTTGCCCAATGTTAAGCCGAGAAAGCGACGAGCTGATGTCTTTCTGCCTTGATCCGAGTGGAACGTGTCAAGAGCTGAAAAAAAAATCAGAAGAAGTTTGCATGTCTTTACAAACAAAATTGGATGAGAAAGATTTACCGGGAAAATGTCATGAAAGACTTGAGAAATGTCATTTTTACAAAGAAGCGTGTACTGAAACAAAGTGTGATGAGGATATGAAGCAATGCGAGGAAAAAGGATTCACATATAAAGCGCCGGAATCTGATTCTAGTCCGGTCAAGCCGAAGGCGTCGTTGTTGAGAAGTATTGGGTTGGATGATGTGTATAAAAGAGCTGAAAAAGAAGGAATTATTATTGGAAAATCAGGAGTGGATGTACCAAGAAGGTTTGGTGAAGATTTTCTGCAAGATCTCTTACTACTGTTGAGCGAAGATGTGAAGGAGAAGGATGCGGGGAAGAAATGCACCGAAGCGTTAAAAAAATGCAAAGATCTTAAGGACTTGGATCATAATTTTAAAGAGTTATGCGAAGATGGTGATAAACAAAAGAAATGCGAAGAATTACTAGATATAAATGTAAATATAAAAGAAAGATGTACAAATCTCAAATTAAATCTTTATCTGAAAGATTTGTCTACAGAATATGATAAAGAATCAAAACTTTTATTCTGGAGAGAGCTTCCAACCTTATTTACGAAGGGAGAATGTGCAGAACTTGAGTCGGAATGTTTTTATTTAAAAAAGACGTGTCAAGATAGTAAGATTGATGAAGCATGTCAAAATGCACGAGCAGCGTGCTATAAAAAAGGACAATATAGGATGTTGAATACACACTTTCGAGAGGTGTTGAAGGGGAAGCCTGATGATTTAAAATATTATAACATTCCTGAAATATGTAAAAAATCAGTGGTAGAAAACTGTAAAAAACTTGATAAAAAATACCTTCCAAAATGTCTTTACCCTAAAGAACTATGTTATCTTCTTTCAGATGATGTTTTTCTTCAATCCAAAGAGTTAGGTGTGCTTTTGGATGATCGAAGAGATTTTCCATTTGAAAAGGATTGTTTTGAGTTGGAGGAGAAGTGTGATGAACTTGAAACTTATTCATTTTCGAATTCAGAAAAGTGTGTAACATTGAAAAGGCGCTGTGAATACTTTGACGTTACAGAGGGATTTAGAAATGTACTTTTAAAAAGAAAAGATCATTCATTATATAATGAGCAAAATTGTACGGAGGTGTTGCAAGAAAAATGTAATACTTTATATAGGAAGAGAAAGAATCCATTTAAGGTTTCATGTGCTTTGCCAGAAGAAACATGTAAATATATGGTACACCATACAAGTCAAGATTGTAGATATTTAAAAGAAAACATCAGGAATGAAGGAATTGTAGAAGAAATTAAAAAAGCAAATGCAAATAAAAATGAAACAACACTCGAAGAACTCTGCACAACATGGGGCCGACATTGTCACCAACTTATGGAGAATTGTCCGGATGACTTGAAAAAAAAAGAGGAGAAAGATCATAACTGTCTAAAACTTGAAGAAGAATGCAGTGAAACCTTTAAAAAGTTGAAAGCGAAGGATGAGCTGACTCACCTGTTGAAAGGAAATTTAAACAAGAAAGAAAAATGTAAAGAAACATTAGGAAAAGATTGCACTGAGTTGCAAAAGAATGATACATTCAAAATTCTTCTTGGTGAATGTAAATCTGATACCACGGAAAATGTTTGCGAAAAATTAGTTGATAAACTACAGAAGAGATGTCCTACTTTAAAAGACGAACTGAATAAAGCGAAAGAGGAGTTGACAAAGATGAAGAATGAGTACGATGCGCTCAAACAGGCGGCAGAAAAATCTACAAAGGTAGCTAGCTTATTGCTATCAAGACCTAGACAAACTGTAATGCCAAGTGCGCAGAATGGCAGTGCTTCTGCACCACCATCAGCACCAGCAGAATCAGGATCATCACCAGCATCAGGGTCACCACCAGCATCAGAGCCATCAACTAATGGAAAGGTGGACACGCCAGCTGGAGGATCAGGGACACCAGCTGGAGGATCAGGCACACCAAGTAGTGGAACGACAGACTCTGCAAAACTTGGACTCGTTAAAAGAGAGTATGTAGAAGGAGGAGTATCAGAAGTAGAGGTAAAAGCATTTGATGAAACGACAATAGCATTGGAGTTGTATTTGGAATTGAAAGAGGAATGTAAAGCTTTAGAACTAGATTGCGGTTTTAAAGAGGATTGTCCGGAATCTAAATCAGCTTGTGAAGAAATAGAAAAGTTATGTAAACTGGAAGCATTAAAAGTTGCGCCTCATCATACAGAGACAATAACAAATAAGGTGACGGAAACACAGACGGAAACACAGACCGTTGAGAAGGTCGATGACAAGACCAATGTGAAGACCGTTGAGAAGACTGTTACGGTAACCAAACCAGGAAGTGGAGAAAAAGTAACAGAAGAGTGTACAATGATACAGACGACAGATACATGGGTGACACGTACGTCATTGCATACGAGTACGACAACGAGTACGTCAACGGTGACATCGACAGTGACGTTGACCTCGATGCGCAAGTGCAAGCCTACCAAATGTACTACTGATTCAAGCAAAGAGACAGATAAAGGAGGAGAAGGAGAAGAAGATGTAAAACCAAATGATGGGATGAAAATAAGAGTCCCTGATATGATTAAAATAATATTGTTGGGAGTGATTGTTATGGGGATGATGTAAATGAATGAAAAAAATGCTAATAGAATAAAAATGTGCATATATCCATTGTTTATATATAATAGAAATCTAAATGAATGAAATGAAGTTTTAATCATTTTAGTCCGCCATTTTAATTAATAACTTAGCTTTATTTGGTAAAGTTTAAGCTTATCGAAGAGCTAAAGTTTATGATAAGAACGAGTCCAAGTTTGTCGTAAAAAAATCATTTCAAAACAACTAACTTTTCACTCTACCCATATTCAATTTAGAAACTACCCACTAAACTCCCCCCCAAATAGGTGGCAATGGCACGGCCGGTTAAGAGGCAAGCACAAGGAGCAGGAGGAGCAGCGGATGACATTAAGGAGGAACACCTTTTGGCTTTCATTGTGAAGGACAAATATAGTAATGAACAACAATGCAAAGAAGAACTCAAGAAATATTGTGAAGAGTTGAAGAAAATAGATGGTGGTTCCGATGTGAATGATAAAGTTAAAGGACTTTGTGGTGGTGATGATAAAAAACGAGACGAAAAATGCACAGGCCTGAAAGCCAAAGTTGAAGCAGAAATAGATAATTTTGATGCAGAACTTCAAGATGAATTAGGAAAATTAAAAGATGAAGATTGTAAAAAATATGAAGAAAAATGCATACTTTTAGAAGAGACGGATTATGATGATATTAAGAATGACTGTGTCAAGTTGAGGGAAGGATGTTACGAATTGAAGCGTAAAAAGGTGGGAGAGGAGCTCCTTTTGAGGGCGCTCGGAAAGGATGTTAAAAATGGTGAATGTGAAAAAAAGATGAAAGATGTTTGCCCAGTGTTAAGCCGAGAAAGCGACGAATTGATGTCTTTTTGCCTTGATCCAACTAAAACATGTCAAGCGCTGAAAAAAAAATCAGAAGAAGTTTGCAAGCTTTTAGAAAAAGAATTGGATAAGAAAAGTTCAGAAAAATGTCATGAAAGACTTGAGAAATGTCATTTTTACGGAGAAGCGTGTACTCAAACAAAGTGTGATGAGGATAAGAAGCAGTGCGAGGGAAAAGGATTCACATATAAAGCGCCAGAATCTGATTTTAGTCCGGTCAAGCCGAGGGCGTCGTTGTTGAGAAGTATTGGGTTGGATGATGTGTATAAAAACGCTGAAAAAGATGGAATTCTTATTGGAAGACAAGGAGTGGATCTACCAAAGACGTTTGGTGATAATTTAGTCCAAGATCTTTTGCTAGTGTTGAGCCAAGATGAGAATGATAAGAAACCAGATAAAAAGTGCAAAAAAGCGTTAGAAAAATGTGATGCTTCTAAGCATTTGGATGAT